TTTTTTTTTTTTTTTTTTTTTTTTTTTATATTCATACGTTAGTTAATTGTTTAGCTGAGATTTTCTTATCGAGGCTAACGATGCTCGTTTAAATTATACCACACGCGTTACATATGTAATATTTACTACTTATGTGTTATATACAATCAAACAAGGAAGATCGTGTCGATCGTAATCGGGCGCATAAGCGGTCTGAGAATCTTGAGCAAACTTTGCAGATGATTGACATTGTTTTGTTATAGAGCATTAGTAGAGAACAAATTATTATTATTATTATCATCATTATATTATAATTAACATGTTAGTTATTACATTGAATTTATTCTTTTGTGTGCCACGTGATGCGTATCTTTTAATTAATGTAAGCATGCTTTTCTTTTTTTTTTTATTTTTATTTTTTTTTTTTAACAAAAAACTAAATAACAAACATAGCGATAGGGAGTGCAACCAAAAAAAAAAAACTCTTCCAAGAACAACAAAAAAAAAAAAAAGAAAAAAAAAAGATACTTCGTTTGCCTGCGAATATGCGCCATTAAAGTCCGACTAATTATTTTAAAAATACATAACTGATGTGAGTACATCGTCGAGCATCATTTCCAACGTTTGAACTTTGAAAGCTTTTTCCGTCGGACCTTAATGACTAATAAAATTGTCGCGTAGTTTATTTCGAAACATTTTTTGTTTTTTTTTTGTTTTTTTTTTTGTCCTTCTCGCATTGATCGATACGAATTAAAAGTAATGGAGAAAGAGAAAAAAAAATAAAAAAATAAAAAAAGCTATGGGCAACAATTATTTCGAGTCAATTCTATTCAACGAGACGTTTTCGCGCAACACACTGCTTGTTTTGTTGCTGTACACTTACGCGATAGAGAAAGGAGCTTCGTGTTGACGAGAAAAGTCTTGAACTTCAGAAAAAAAAAAAGAAAGAAAAAAAATTAGAAAAAGAGCGCGGAGAAAGATTTTTTTTCGATTGCCACGAAATCAACGCGAGAAATAAAACTTGATCGTTGTTGTTGGCAGTTCCTGAATATGGCGTCGGTGTTTATGCGGATTTTTAACCTGATCTGCATGATGCTACTGATAGGCCACTGGAGTGGTTGTTTGCAATTTCTGGTACCCATGCTTCAAGGATTTCCCAGTAATTCATGGGTCGCCATTAACGAATTGCAAGTGAGTCTTGGATTAATTATTTAATGTATATATTTTCCTATCAATATTTATTCGTATATATAGGGTGAATGTATAAATACATAAATAAATAGTAAATATAAATAATTCGATATTTCGTATCGTATAGGATAAATTTGATTGAAATTTAAGTAAAATAACGAAAATTAGATGGTAAGGCAATAAGGTAATCCAAGTAAAATTGTTTGAAATACTCGAAGAAAAATATTTTTCAGGATTCGTTTTGGCTCGAGCAATATTCCTGGGCCCTCTTCAAAGCGATGTCACATATGTTGTGCATAGGTTACGGCAGATTCCCGCCGCAATCGTTAACGGACATGTGGCTTACGATGCTCAGTATGATCAGCGGTGCTACATGTTACGCACTTTTCCTGGGACACGCGACGAATCTTATTCAATCTCTTGATTCCTCGAGAAGACAATACCGTGAAAAGGTAATTAGGTCGTTAGAATTCGCTTTCGAAGATATCAAAGTCGGGGGGAAGGGTCCCCCTTGGCATTCATACATTTTTTCACCTATTTTTCTCTCTCTCTTTCCCCCCACCCCCATTCGTTTGTTCTTTTCATATAGGTGAAACAAGTGGAAGAATACATGGCCTATCGCAAACTACCGCGGGAAATGAGGCAGAGAATTACCGAATATTTCGAGCATCGATACCAAGGCAAATTTTTCGACGAAGAATTGATACTTGGCGAATTATCGGAGAAATTAAGAGAAGTACGATTAATATTGTCACTTTCTTCTTCTATCAAATCCTTTTTACTATTTATCTTTTTTTTTTTTCGTTTTTTTTTTTTGTTTTATTCCATATGGCTAAAACAATAATATAAAATCTATACAATCTCTCGTGTATCGTACTTTAATATATTTTCTATTGACATATTCTCCTCGAAGAATATAACACATATATATATACACATAGAAGAAAAATAGAAAAATGGGATTATAAAGTTTATTAACACGTGTGCATTCTCATCGATTAGGACGTAATAAACTACAACTGCAGATCGCTCGTCGCCTCCGTGCCATTTTTTGCTAACGCCGATTCAAACTTTGTCTCGGATGTGGTCACCAAATTGAGATACGAGGTCTTCCAACCAGGTATCGATCGATTATTCGAGCTCCGACCGTGACCGTTTCTCACGTACACGAGCTACTTTACCGCAGTGAACCTAACGCTGATATATTTCGTCATGATATTTTTTCTTTCTTTTTTTTTTTTTTTTTTTTTTTTTTTTTTTTTCTCTCTCTCTCTCTTTTCTTTTAGGTGACATCATTATAAAGGAAGGTACCATCGGCTCGAAAATGTACTTCATACAAGAAGGCATAGTCGATATTGTTATGGCAAATGGCGAAGTGGCTACTTCATTGTCAGACGGATCTTATTTTGGAGAAATTTGTTTGCTGACTAACGCAAGGAGAGTGGCCTCGGTCAGGGCGGAAACCTATTGCAACCTCTTCAGCCTCTCGGTGGATCATTTCAACGCCGTATTGGATCAGTATCCACTTATGCGTAGAACCATGGAAAGCGTTGCCGCCGAGAGGTATAAACTTTGGTTAGGTTTGTTCTATCGAGTTGGTGTGCTAATAGGTGTCAATCATCACTCCCACTTTCATTACTTTCTTTTCGAACATTATGTACTGTCCGATTCAATCAGTAATACTATTTCATCGTTTAACGTTGAACCATATTCGTTCTCATATATGCGTACAGCTTTTCATTATTTCTTTTTACCTGTTTTTTTTTTCTTCCAACTTGAAAATGGGTATTTTTATTTAAACTATTCTTTATCTCTCTTTCTTTTTCTCTCCCTCTATCTCTTTCTTTCTTTCTTTCTTTCTTTTTCTCTCTCTCTACCCTCTTTCTTTTTCTTTTAATTCAATTTTACCTATTTATCTAAATTTCGGATGTGCTGTACCAACGCGCGATCGCTTCTTATTTACACAAAACACCGAAAACTTTACGATATACACTTAATAAATTTAATGCGTTTTTTAATACGCTCGTTGTGTTGTATATCGTTTAAACATTAATAATACATTACGCGTGATCTATATTTATCAGGAATGATTGTAAAGAGACAGTGCAGAAATGGGGAGGATTTGTGATCGATTAATAACGAAAAAGCGCACTAACTTTGAACGTATAGAATTATTTAACAATGAGTTGAGAGAGTTCAATGAGTATTCACGGAACAAACACACAGTACCCGCGAAATCATTTTTAATTATAATATACGTGATACGAATTTACACATAAAACATCCAAATGTAGTATGTAATATCGAGTATTATATTTAGATTTTAAACTCTCTTGTTTTGTTGATGTGAGATAAAAATAGAACTTTAAGACATTTATCTATTAAAAACAGAAAATACTTTTACACTCTCGACACATTCACTACATGGTAATGTTGTATTCATAATTTTCCGCAACATACTTTATAAATCAGTTGCACTTTCGGTTGTGCGACAGTTCGCACGGGAGAATCGAATATTTCGAATCTCGGTAATTCTAGTTAATTAAAATATTTCAAATAGAATATTATTAATATAATACGATAAAAATCACATAGAATCTTTTTTAAAACATTGTCGATATCCCGTGGTAACTGTTTCAAAACTGTTGGATTTTTTCTTTATCCAGTTTTATATGTCACATTGAAACGTTTAGCGGTGCAAGTAAGCTATATTTGATAAGTGCTTATCGCACGTTAGTCATAACTTTTGTATAGCGTGACAGACCTGTTCAGCTAAACGTTTGGTAAGCAAATGTGGATTATCAATGGTTGGTGAGATGTGCGACATTCCCTACGCTTAATTATGCTCTCCTTATAGGTTAAACAAAATCGGTAAGAATCCTAACTTGGTCGGGCACCGGGAAGAGGATCTTGGCAGCGAATCAAAAACGATAAATGCAGTGGTGAATGCGCTCGCGGAACAGGCAGCACATGCCAGTGCCAGCGAAGAATCGGTAAATATTATATTACTTCCCTTTTAAGGTATATGCGCATACATATGTGTAGGTAAAATGATAGAAACGGTGGAGGTAATCCTAATAGGAACGATATCACAAACTTGAATTTGTTCGCAGGTGCATAGCATGGAACTCCGAACGATGCCAACGTGCCTCCTACCGAGGCCAAAGTCCGAGAACAATTTTGCAAGTCAAGAACTTACGAGGGAAGGACGTAGGGTCTTCCACAAAAGCGATACCTTCCACAAGGACTCGTATCAATGACGACACTCATTATACTAGCATACGGAGAGATACTAATGGCTCCTCGCTAGAACCTGGGTCTTTTTCCTGCGAAATCAAAGACGCTATTATCATCAGTTTATGTGCCGATTACTGGGCGATAACTTTACGATTAGGTGAAAACGGTCTACATGTAGTGATACGCCATGCCAATAGTCTTTTTAGCGATCGGTTCCTAGCGCCTTCTTCTATTTTCATTCTCTCGTCCAGGATTAGTTCATAAAAAACTGTCAATGAGGAAAAGACCCAATACTCCAATCAGCAACAACGTCTCGTCGACCGCAATACTGTCAATCAATTTTTGACTCTATGTCAACTTCTTCTGTGACTTTGTCTCCGTGTTGCCTTTTTAATCGCAGTGACACGCGCCTACGCATACATTTTATCTCTATATTATATACATATATATATATATATATATCATCCCTCTGTATCAAAGCGTATTCTATTATTTTACTTTTTTAATTATCTTTCATTATCTTTTATCTCTTAACAAAGTATCCTGACTGCAATAACAAAGACCGCATTAAAAGAGAACATATATATATATATGTATATGTATTTAAAAGTAATTTTTGAAAAGGCCAACAAGAAATGAAAAACGACGCGAGACATGATCATCAAGATTATAACAACAAAATAAGCGATCAAAGGTGCGTTTGAATTTTCCTATCATACTTGTAAAAATTCACGAAAATAGAGCTGTAAATATATTATTGTACGAAATGATAAACGTACCTTTGATGCTAGATTTTAAACAGATTTACAATGTTACAATGAACGTTCAAGATAATTCACAAAACAAGTTTTCTCTTTATATAACGGGATACCAGAGATTAATGATATTAAACGTAACTATGATTTTATTGGATTAGATTAATTTTTTAATTTCGGAATATGTCAATAATAGCGAGGGTGAAACTATCGGAGACAAAAAAGTGTGTCCCGATTGGTTTTAAAAATATAACAAAACGAAAGCTAACTTTTTTAACTTGACTGATGCCAAGTCTAGTTGAAAATTCACAGAAGAAGTAAGACTCTCGCATAATCGTTAGTTGTATGCCATTTTGGAGAACGTGGAGCCCCAAGTACGTGCCGCGAGCTTCTTCATATCGTAATCACCCAATTAAACATCTCTTTCTAAACGAGTTAATCGCGCTACACGATTACGCAAGAGAACAAAAAGAACAAACGGATGAAGATCTCGTAGACGACAAAAGAAAAAAAAAAAAAACAGCAGGCCTAGAGAAAATCGTTTGTAGAGTATATATTATAGTCCATTTGTGAAAGTAGGTAAATTATCCTGATAAAAGAAAAATATTAGTATAACGACGCGTAATTCTCTGTGATTTTGTAATTTGCCGTTTCGCACTTTAGGAGAAAAAAAAGAAAGAAAGAAAAAGAGAAGAGAGTATAAACGAACAATATAATATATTAGAATTCACTATTTCTTAAGAGACAAGAAGAATATAGATGATAACATCAAATTATCTTCTAACTAAACAACAACAGCAGCAACAACAACAACAACAACAAATAAAATTCATTTCAATAAAATGAAAAGTAAAGAGAAAAAAAGAAAAAAAGAAATAAAAGAGAAAACAAGATAAATAATATACTTGTAATACGAGGAAACACTGTCGATAAGTTTACGAACGTGTTTTATCTATTTAAGGGCTTAAGTCGCACGTCCACATCGAAGTGACATTGTCGGGAAACGTTACTAGAAAATATATAAAACAGGATCAATAATAATTGCGGAATGAACGGTATGTTTAATAAATGATACGGGGATGGGTAAATAAAAAAAGAAATGACACAACCAAATATAAGAGAAAAGAAATAAGAGAGAGAGAGAGAGAAACAAAAAACACAAAAAGAAAGAAAGAAAGAAAGAACAATTTCAAATAAGACGTCCACGTAAAGATAACGACAATTCCGGTTAAATAAATAAATAAATAAATAAATAAATAAATAAATAAATAAATAAATAGAAAAAGAAGAAGAAGAAGAAACAATTATATAAAAAGAAAAAAAAGATAAAAGTTAACAACATCAAACGTCCACATTGAACCAAGAAAAAACAAGTTAGTTGCCTTTGAGAGAGATGTCTCCTTTGAATTTATCGAGACGCCATTTTTCCTTCGCTTAACTTGCGTTTCTCTAAGCTCCGTCTGAGAGTGCCTCACTAAACGATGTTCTTATTCCTATTTTTCTTTTCTATTCTTATTTTTAGGTATTAAAAATATTGTGAAGTTAAAAAGAAAAAGAAAAAAAAGCCATAAAAAAAAAAAAAAAGTAAAGAAGAAAAGAAATAACATTTCACGACGATGTCGCGGGGCGCCTCTACTAGTACGCATTGGTAATACCGCAATCAAAAAAAAGATCTGATGGGGAAAAAAACAAATAGAGAAAAAAAAAAGAAAAAAAACATTATTGAACGTCAATTATAATCGAGTCTTATAAACGAAACTATCTATCGTCGGAGACGCGTATTTAAAATATCTATGCGCGCGCGCGATGTGTTTAAAAACAAGTTAGTTTTATAGCGAGTCCAAAAAATACGCGGGAAAACGTGTATAAATATATAAGAACTATTTAACAATTAAACACACACACAAATACGAAGAGCAATTTTCGCACTTAAGTGTGTACGCTACTCGCATGAGGAGGAGGAGGAGGAGGAGGAGGAGAGGAGGGGTTTTACGAACTTATTTATTTCATCTTTCAATTTCGCCTAATTCCATACACACATATATATATACATACGCGGACACACACAAACAAACACACACATCATTAAATAATATCATCTTTGAAAAACTTTATCGTTCATCATTAGGTGACGTACGCGCACACATAATATACATACAAACACAACAAATTTACAAACGAAGAAGAAGTAACCACTACGCACACATACACATACTGTTACACATTCGTAAATAAAAGTGCATCCTTCTTCTTTCTTTCCCTCTCGTTAATAACGTTGTCAGTCGGAACAGGAAAAAAGGATGACGACGACGAAGGACAACGACAAACAAACAAAAAAAAAAAAAAAAGAAAAAGAAAAAAATACGTACATACCGTATATTTAAAAAAAAATATCTCAAACGTATTTCCAACGACGTTACTTCGTTATGGACGCTTCGGCATTAGCTTCGTATTGTACTTTCATAGGAAAAAACCCCGCGTATAAACGTTAAGACGAATGCCATGCAATACTCTAAGAAATAAAAATAGGAATATAGGGTTGGAACTTATATATTCCATAATAAAAAAAAAAGCTTGCCAATTATACGGTAAGAATTTATTTTCGAATTTCAAGACCGATAAGAAGCCTTACGTTTTTGGAGCTTGCTTCTTTAGCATTATTTCACGGAGAGAAATTTCTATACCTCTCTTGTATTCCTAAATTACCACCACCCCCCCCCCCGCCTCCCGCCCCACATCTCCTTAACTCACCTTTTCCTTCCCTTCCATGCTTTCCTGTCTTCAAATTAGGTCGCGCTTCGACAGTTTAGTGGTATCGTTAGAAAACGCCGGGTTGTGAATTCGAATCGTTAAAATATAAAGAGAGAGAAGAAAAAAAAAAGAAAGAAGAAAAAAAAAAAAAAGAAACATAATTGATTCAAACCAACAACAATAACAACAACAACAACAACAACAAAAAGTCACACATTATTCGGAAAAAATTCGGGAGGCCGTCCTGTAGTGAGACGTTTAACGCGGAGTATCGTGTTTATATCCGTGGACGCATTGAAATGCGAGATATGTGTTTTAAAAGGAAAAATCTGATACAAAAAAAAAAAGAACAAAAAATAAGTGAAACAAAACGAAAGAATGAAGGAAAGAAATATTATGAATAAACTAGTAGTTCTTTAAAAAAAAAAAGAAAAGAAACGAGGGAGAAAGAAAATAATAATAATAATAATAATAATAATAATAATAATAATAATAATAATGAAATATTAACAAAAAAAATTAATAAATAAATAAATAAAGATAAATAAATAAATAAATAAAAGCTTAAAGTGTCCCAAAGACCGTGTTAACTTGTTGAGAGTCCTTTGGGTCACCGCGGCTACGATGATATTGATGGAAATGAGAAACAAACAAAGAAAAATAAAAGAAAGAGAGAGAGAGAGAGAGAGAGAGAAGAAAAAAAATAAAAACAAATATTAAGTGATACGCGAGAGAGAAGAAGTATCTTTTTACGTGGTGAAGAATAAACGCGATGTACTATATAATAAGAGAAACAAAGATAAGAAAGAAAAAAAAAAAATAATAAGAAGTTTAAATAAATATGTAATAAATGATTATTATTATTGTTACAGCTACTATTGCAATGATTACTACTACATCACATACCGCGCATTATTAGGCAATTATTATACTATCGAAGTATAAAAAAAAAGAAAGAGATAAAATATTGTACATATATACATATATGAATGGTTATATACGTACGTAAGTACATGCATACGTATACGAACACCCATATATACGTATATGTATTATACAAAAAATATATTATAAATAATACAAAATAGTAATCACAAAACATACATAAGCACACACAGACACACACATAAACAGAAATAAATCAATCCAACCCGACCATACTGCAAAATATATCAAATAAAGTTTCTTTAGATATTTTCAAAGAAGAGAGAAACAAGAAATTTGCGAGATCTAGTATAATAATAGTTAAGTACTATTATTGTTATCGATAACACTACCTAATTTCGCTTCGAAACTACACAGACACAATTTACATAGAAACATATATACAAGAATTTTCCTTTCACATCCCAACCACCAATCAATTTTCACTAAAGATTCGTTTCTTTCTATGTCGTATCTCTTTCTCTCTCATTTTTTCAATCCTTTTTCTTTAACACTTCTTTACCTTTCTACTTATACTCTACTTACTTTTAAAAGATACGATAAAGAAAGCAATCTATATATTAAATGTAATATTTTTTCGATAAATCCTAAACCACGCGTTTCTTCTTTCTTCCATATATTTTAACAAAAGAGAAAAAGATATTATAAAAATAATAATAATTTAGGCAGCATTTTTTAGAGCGCTGCCTTAAGAAGAAATAAAAGTCTATAATTTGAATACTCGAATATAATAGATGAAACAAGATGCAATTATTAGTTATCTAAATATTCGCAATAAATCGATTTTAGTGATATATATATATATACATATATATATATATATATATATATAATATATTATATATATATATATATAATGGAGCCTTGATTACAAACAAAAAAATTGCTCTTTTCGATGGATGATGATGAATCGTCGTATGACAGCGACGTTCGTACGTATGTCGTAGTTATTATTGCGCACATATATACGCACACGCACACATCTATACGAAAATTTCCCAGAGAGATTAAAAGAAGAAAAAAAAAAAATGGTTCACCTTTTAAATACCACACACACACACACACACACGCGCGCACACACACGCGAGATTTATTCCTTTCGTCATTCCTCTTTTAAAAACAAACACATTAATTAAATAAAAAATTAATCTTCTTCGAGCGCGATAAGGAGAAAAAAAAACTGGTCGATCTTTTTTTTTTTCTCTTATTTTTTCTTTTTTTTTTTTTTAGTTTCCCTAGCCAATAACGACGCGAGCAATTATGCACTAATTAATAATCGTATATGTGCATACACACCGCCTGTGTGTATGTAAATAATACGAAAATTATTACGATTCAATAGTTACATCGTGCACATATACATCAAAAACATGCATACATATATACATACATACATACATACATACATGTATCAAAGAAAAGAAATACATATTGTAAACATATATACATACATTCAAACACGCGTGCGAGGAAACAAATGTACCTATTTTTCATGGACAAGAGAGATAGTTTTTTGTCGCTGTTTTACATCCTCACGCGTTCATTCCGAACATAATGTAGTTTACGATTGTGATGTAGAAAACAAAATAATAATAATAATAATAATAATAATAATAATAATAATAAAGAGAAAGAAAAAGTAAATAAATAAATTAATAATAATAATAAGAAGAAAAAGATAAAGATGATTGCGTTAAATACGAACGGAGAAAAAGATCTTCCGGGGCATAATAAATCTCGGTTTGCGATATCGAAATTTTGTAAATCGGGCCGCATGCAGTTTAGGATTAAACCTGCTGCCAATGTTCTAGACCTATCAAAGTATGCATTACTGTGCGTGTATGCGCGTCTGCTGCATATAAGTATGTGTGTGTATGTGTGTGTGAGTGTGTGAATGCGTTAATATGCATAAGTATATACGTACTGTACCTATGGGGAGACTTATAAATACGTCATATGTTCATACGTAACATATGTCTCTCTCACATGTACGAACATATATATGTATATATGTATGTATGTATGTATGTATGTTTGTATGTATGTATGTATATTATTGTTGTTACTTCGAGATGAGAGTGAAAAAGAAACGAAAAGATTATATACAAAGTTGTACTCTTACTATCACTGCTAACTGATAGGTACTATTAGCCATTTTACTAACGTTATAAAAATACTGATGCTGCTGCGACAAGAGAAAAGAAACAAAAAAAAAAAAAAGGGGGAAAAAAAAAAAAAAAAAAAAGGGGGAAAAAAAAAAAAAAAGAAAAAACAAACAAAAATGGTATAATGATATTAGTTCTATATACACGTTATACACAACACTTATTTGCGCGCATCTCATAAACAGGGTCCGCCCAAGTTCTCGCGGCGTCTTAACGCGTCTTTGCGATAATTAAAGATCTAATTGTAAGAAAAAAATACAGAAATAAATCAATCAATCAATCAATCGAGCGATAAAGGAGCAAAGAATGGTCGACAACAGAACTCTGCCTTTCATGATATTGATGATAAAAATGATTAAAATGATGATGATGATGATGATGATGATATTCAACTGACAACGAATAAAAAAAGAATATGAACTGTGTAATAAATAGCGATGACTACGACGAGGACGAGGACGAGGACAAGGACAAGGACAATGACGACGACTATGACGAAGAAATCCGACTCTGTGTATCGTACGACACAACGAAAGCCGTAAACCAAATTTGCCAGCGTTTCTCACCAACCCTAACCCTCCTCCATCCACCCACACCCCTGTCCGTCGTAATAAAAAAAAAAAAGAGAACATCCCAAATCTTTTCTTGCGACCGTTCAACTACACTTCGATTGAAAATGAATGAATATTTTAGAACAGTGATCTTCATATTGCGTTTAACGGAACCCAAGGAGGTCCCACGTAACCTTCCCAAAGGTTTATACGAAATATTATTTCAATTATATTACACATATTGTATTAATGTCATACTTTTTCGTGTTTGAAAAATGTCATTCCCGAAATTAAAATATTAATAGCAAGAATTTTTATTACTAACTTTCAAATAACATAAAAATTTATAAACGCATCTCGAAAAGTGATATTTTTTTATGAGGAAGAGAATTTCATAAAATAATTTTACATTCATAAGGGAAGGGGGGGGGGGGGGGGAGTTCCTTGAACCGAAAAAGTTTGAAGACCATTGCTTTAAAACAATGTTACTTATTTATTTCTATACTTTGTTTTATGTTCTATATCCTAGAACATATCTACTACGATTCGATAATCGCTTATAATTATAAAAATTAGATTACATAAAATAATTTCAATGTTTTCGCATATTACGCACGATAACTTTGGCGTACCCTGCTAGGCGCAACACAACGCATATACACCAAAAGTATATATACGAAAGAAGAGCGAAAAAAAAAAAAACAATATTATAATAGCATTTAAAAAAATGATAATTATATCGTAACAGCTATTAAAAAGCAAAGTGATGCGATCCTTTTACGTAACTGCTAAGATAAATGAGTGAGAGACGTTTAAAATTAAATACATACCTATATACAAAAATAGTTTTTGTATAAACGAACACGATAGCTCGCAAATTAGTATTAAAAAAAATACCATAAAACAAACAACAACAACAACAAATGTCGAATTGAACATAAATGAGAGAAAAAGAAAAAAGAAAAAGAAGTAAAGTAATAAAATATTAAACAAAATAATATTAATAATAATAATAATAGTAATATTAATAATAATAATAATAATAATAATAATACTAATGGTTAAACCAAAAAAAAATAGACCGGTCCGGAAATCGGAAATGGTGCAGAAAAAAACAGTGTGCTTTTAAGAACGAAACAAAACCAAAAAATGAAAAAATTATATATATAAATATATATATATAACAAAAATAAAAGTCGTTTGCGAAACATTGCGAGACTATAGAGGATACACGCGCACGCACACACATACACGCACACACACACCAATATGCAAAACATCATTTGATGTTATGTAAAGTTCCATAGTATCAATAGTTACTACTATTCTACGTGAAAGGAAAAAAGCAACCAAAAAAAAAAATTAAGAAAATAAGAAAAAATAATGTGCTGCAAATGCAAAAAAATCGTGTACATATCACACACATACACAAACACACAGAGAGAGAGAGAGAGAGAGAGAGAGGACACACGTAAAAACACCTTCTGTTTAGGGGGAAAAAAAAAAAAAAAAAAAAAAAAAAAAGAGAAACATATTTCGCGAGAAATTCATTGACAATTACTTTTGCAACGGATTTGCTACTAGATAAATCTTTTCATCTGCGTTCCTTTAGAAACGAAAGAAAAAATAAAAAAAAAAAAGAAAAAAAAAAGAAAAGAAATAAAACGAGAAAGAGAAAAGCCAAACCAAATAAACCCCTTGACAAACCTATATAAACGAAGAATAAGAAGAAATGAAGAAGACAAAAGAGATAAGCAAAAGCATTTTATATATCGCATTTTCGTGCATAGTTTTAATAAAAATTCTGTTTCCTGCTATATATACACAGCAATTAAGCAAACTGAACCGAATATGTATAATCAATAAGGTAGATGTTTCAAACGATCATCCTTTACATTCCTATCTTTTTTGCTTTCCATATATTTATTACTTAGACAGCTTCTCTGATCTTAGAAATTATTCTAATAGAAAAGAAAAAAAAAAAAACTGACCAGAGTTTTACGCTTCGTTCTATTTATTGTACACTTACATTTTACTTAGATAAATTAAAATATTTTTTTTGCGAGCGAAAATTGATCATCGATCTCTCCGGTATACGATGACGACGACGACGATGACGACGATGACGATGACGACCAAACACGAAATCCAATGACTTTTTTATTTTCATTTGAATTACAATTATTCTCGTTCGAATCGAAATTATTTTACTGTGCAAGAACGTGAATATTTTGAATTTTTTTTACAAAGTACGATCTTGTAGTACAGCAATAATTTACTTTACGATATTTTTTTCTGCAATCTATTTTAATTATCGAAAAATCATGCTTGTATGTTACAAACAATTGCCTGGAAGTATTTTTGTCATTGATAATGAACTAATCAATTAATTTCATAAGAAAATTCTATTCTCGTTACTTTCCTTTATTTCAGAAATTTACTTTAACTTGCGTACTATTAAAAAGTTCACTTTCTCTGACAGTAAAAAAATATAATTAGATCGCATTGAAAATAATTATTGATCAGCACGATTATAGCGTTAACACGTTGATATTAATCCAAAGGAAAAATTTAAAGAAAGTGGACCGCTCTTAAAATTATAGCGCGAAAAGTTACATACGTTAGATTATATATTTCTATTTTCGGTTTCAATGATCGCAAGTAAGAAACTTTAGTTCGAAATAAAAAAAGGAAAATAATTGAAATAATGTAGAGATGCTATAAAGCTTCAAGTTAGATTTGTACGTTGTTGCAATATATATTGAATATTTTTTACACAGTGTCTCCTAATCTTAATCGAAAACAAGTAAAAAAAAAAAACAGTCAACAGGAAAATAAGGAAAAGATTTTTAAAAGGAAGAAATAATTGACTCATCATTCGCGTAGCGTAATTTCTCTCGCAAATATTTTTCATTTTTCGAATCGTATGTGATTTAGACAACGAAAGTAATTGATATTGTGAAGAAGAAGAAGAAGAAGAAGAAGAAAAAAAATCAAGAATCATTTCCATGGCAAAAAAATTTAGTCGTCGATAATGAATCTACGCTTATTATCATAGCAATCTCACGACACACGATATTATATTGTAAAAAGAAAAAACAAAAATAAGAAAAATTGAAAGATTTTTATTTGATAAAAAAAAATAATTAACATGCATTTAAATTAACGTCATTTAACGTTTATCAACTTTTCCGGCTACGTGTTGGTGACGGGTAAAAGAAAAATACGTTTTTAATAACAAACAAAAAAAATTATTAATTTGAATTTCGCAAAAGAGAGAGGAGTGCGTTGTGCGTCGACGACGAAAAATGGATGGGATGAAAAAAGTAAAATAATTAGTTGCAAAGATATAGAAGAGAGAAAAAAATGGTATCGGTGCCGTGTAAAAATTATTTATCAGGCGTTTTCGGTGAAGGACTCTCGTAGCACGCTTTGCAAAGATGTGAAAAAGAGACCATAAATATATAAAGAGAATAAAGAAAAGATGAAAAATATTACAACAAAGAATAAATAATGATAAGAGAAATAATAACACAATAATAAATCCTAGCGTCAATTTTCTACGATGGAATTTTCTACAAAAAATTCAGCGGTAAGCGCGCACATTGTAAAGAAAACAAAAAAAAAAAATATATATATATATATTGCGCTTATTATAGCGCAGATATGTCGTCGTATGTAATGTACGCTACGCAGCACCGGTAAACTCTTAAACAATAAGATCATATCTATCAAAACTTTTCTATTAGACAATCCATTAATTTTCTTGCGGACACCTGAGGGCCGTTCTTTTCTTACATATAAAAAAAAAAAAAATAAGAAGAAAAAAAAGTAATATTAAAAAAGATAAAAAACAGAAACCCACCCACGCGCGCGAGCAAATAAAGAATAAATAAATAATAATCAAGCAAACGAGAGGCCAAGAAACAAAGTATAATAGACGCTAATTACTTATGCTAGGTGCTTGTCAAATGACACACACACACACACACACACGCGCGTACGGTAAATATTATTATATTAACTTATAAAATTAATTTTAGGGAAAAGAATAAAAAAAAAAAAAAAACAAAAAGAAAAATGCAAGTTGACTAAATAAATATTAGAATTATCATTTCTACTTCGTACTTTATTTTCGAGGGTGACACAAATACGTATGCATACACACGTACACGCATTCAATTGCATTTGATTCGTTTTATTCGTTACTTTGAAAAAAAAAAAGTCCTGTAAAAAAGGGTAGATCGCGTTTTTACACACACACACACACACAAAATAGTACTTATTAGTAGAAATTTATTTAACTTTTTTTTTTCTCTTACTTTCCTTTAACATATAGTCTCAGTTACGAAATAATTCTATTTCAATCGAAAAGAAATATTTCATTTCATCCAACGAATTCGTAAGATTTACACGTTAACACGAAAATTGCATAAACAACAACACGAATGCATGGTCAAACGAGGCGACATTTCTTAAAATGTTCGACGAAAAAGGATTCGCAAAAAAAAGAAAAAAAGGAAAAGAAATAAGTATTATTTTTCTATCGTCGTATTTCTCTGCTTCGAGATGAGTACGATTAAATTGAACGTGTCACCCTTCTATAATACATCGAGTACGCTCAAGTTACTCAAGTACTCAAAAGTACAAATTATGCTGCGTGTTATACTCGTTTGTTACACACACATGCGTGCGCGTACACATGTGAGGTAGTTCCAAAAGTCTTGAATTTTCTTACAAGGGTAACACCAGAATTTATAGTTTCCGATATTTTTCGTTAATTTTATACAATTATTGATTTCGTTTAAGCATCACATTGCATACTACTAGAGGACGCATTATACTCAACCATTTCTAAGATATCGAAGAAAGAATTTTTACAAACGTTCTTACATACCAAATTTATTTTTTCCTAATTTTCATTTGATTTCTTAATTTCTTTATTATACAGTATTTATGTTTTGTTCACTTTATTTTTTTGTTTTTCCTCGAATTAAACTTTGAAAAATTAATTTTTACATGAACAATCAATCAATCAATCAATCCCTGACAGATTTGATCATATGTTTTGGATGAATTCTGTACGCACGCGATTCAACGACTACAATGATGATGCCGTAAACGAAGAAAGAAGAATAAAATAAATAAATTGATTACTCGTAGTTAAATATGAACGAAACGTAGATACATTTTGTTGTCAACAAAATGTGTGTGTAATCGATGAACCTTCTTTTCCCTCCTATTTTTTTTTTTTTTTTTTTTCAATTAATTTTCATAACAAATAAAGTCTTGAATCGTAAAAGTATATAGGAGCGTTTGTCAATATACATGAATACTTTTGTAAAGAACGTATAAGATCGTACTTCACGCACGTTTAAACATCGGCACTTGTCAAATATACATTACTTGCCATAAACAAATGCCTTAGCGAAAAAATGTTACTGTACACTGAAGTAAGTATGTAAGTACTGAATTAAGGGATGAAAGATACCTATATAAGAAATATATACATATATACATATATATGTACATATATATATATCTATAAGTATGTATTGCATAATGAAAAAGAAACCAAACAAACTAAACACGTAAAAGTAACGAAATATATATCAGAAAATTAGAATGTGGTTAAAAGAAAGAGAGAGAAAGAGAGAGAGAGAGTGTATTTCAAAATATATGCAGAACACATAAAATAAAGAAATGAATAAGAGATCGATTCACATAATACTATAACTATAATAGAAGATTAATTAACTCACCGATTGTATTGTATAAAATGTATCGCGATCTTTTTCGTGATACGTCTCTTAATGCGTGTGTGTATAAAAAACTAAACAATTATTATTATTATTAAAAGCACTTTGTACGCGAAGAAAGTATTCTTTTCCTCAAAAGAAGAAAAAGAGAGGAAGAGAGGAAAAGAAAGAGAGAGAGAGAGAGAGAGGGAGACAGAAGTAGAAATAGAAATAGAAATAGTTAGACTTAGATAGATAGTTAGATATATAAATAGATAGATAGACAGATAGATAGATAGATAAATAGATAGATAGATAGATAGATAGATTTAAAAAAAAGAGAAGGAAGGAGAAAGTCCATGAAAAAAATTAAATAAAAAAAAATTAATAAATAAATAAAAAAGAGAGTGAGAGAGAGAGAGAGAGTGAAATGAAATAAAGGATATCGAGCGATGATTAAGGAAAAAAAAAAGATGCAAAACTAACGCTAATGCTAAATGTCTCTAGAGATTAAGAATGAAAACAATTATTATCTCTCGAAGGAAAGAAAAAAGAAAAAAAAAACACAGAAGAAGAAGAAGATTAGGTCATTAAAAAAAAGTGTCAACATAATATACATAACATCGGTGGCAATGTTCGACTTCACCCGTCCATTTAGTATTTAAGCCGTGCTGCACGTCTATTCGGCTTTTAGAGCACACATGCATAGAAATCTAACGAACACCACCAACCACGCCGTATAAAAATAATTATTTAGAAAATATATTGTATACGTATGATATATAACACTCGTCATCTTGCTACGGTAAAAAACAAAAAAAAGAAAAAATATTACGATATCAAACCTTTTAGTTGGCTTCTATCGATTATATTTTCAAAAGAAACCAAAAAAAAAAAAAAAACAAAAAAAAACAAACTAGCAGCATCTCGATTGCTGTCGACGATCATTCATCGACCGACGAGCGCATTGGTGTTCAGCATCATATCCGGCTCGAAGAAAATTTGACGTACGTTTAACCGTGACAAATGCGGTTATAAACGTGTCACATACACGTTACACGCATACATAACGTCAATGCGTACGTAATTGAATGCGTACGTAAAGTAAAGTTTGCAAAAATAAAATCGAAATTCTTGAAAGATTGTTAATTCTTTTTCGAAGTTTTATACACAAATTCCCATTTTTCCACGATGATCCTAATGATGAACGATTTTATTTATTTCTTTCCTCGTGTTCTTTTAATTTATTACAAGAATAAAAGATCTTTTTATAAGAATGCTTCTTTTTTTTGTTTTGTTTTAAACATTACAGGTGATTGTTGATTACATAGAACCTTGGATTCGTACAATTCGTATGATTGAATACGTTATATCGTTCATATACGAGATCATGGTATTAACAGGTCACTCTTTATCCTTGCCCTTTGCATTCTCGAGAAATTGAGACCACCGAGATATGTTTCCAACTCTTCTATCAAAGCTTCTGCTGCTTCGGCACACCTATATTCCTCGAGTCTCGTAATAGGAATCGAGGCTTCTTCTTGTATTATATTTAGGATTAATTTCAAATGAGACATTGTTCTGCAAGGAAAAAAAAAGAGAAGAAAGAAAGGACATGAAAGACACATTTTCGAAAACTTAACTTATTTTCTAATCTTTTTGTTTTCAAGCTACTTACCTTGCCATTATATTTATCTTATTATTCGATAAAGTTTCGATCATAGCGTAACATTCGATTTTTTCGATGGTATAAATATTGGTCAAGATTTTTTTAGCATCGAGACACTGCAAAAGACGAACGAACCTATCGGAATCTAATTCAAATGGAAGATCTATAGTAACTTCAAGGAAGATACTTTTCAATGCTAACACGCTGTACATCGGTTGCTGGGACAAATTCATATCATACATTCCACGTAAAATATCGCGAGAATAGAAAGTAATGATCGGTATAGCTAGCTGCAATTCCGTATCCAAATTTTCGTATGAAATCGTGCTGTATATTTCTACGACAGAATTTTCATGAAAATCTATGGGATCGAGAACAAGCGTGGCTACAATGTTGCCTTTCCTCGATGGGATCACGTCAATCTTTTTCCAAAGATTACCATCCTCTTGCCAGAAAGCTGATACAACACCATGAATTTCGTTGATGCCTTTTGGGAAGGCATAAAATTTAAGCTCACGTAATATTCTGCAAAAGAGATAATATAAATTAGATAATAAAAAGTATATATATTCGTGTAAGAAAGAAATATCACAAAAAAAAGTATGACAAGAATAATAATCAAATCCTAATGAATTAGTGATAACGAACAATAGTTAGCAAGTACCCTAAAAGTATAAAAATTTGTGCTTCGTTTCCTGTTTCTGGATTAGAGGCATAGGTAAAGAAAGTCGGGCATTGGATCAAGCTTATCTATACCCCCCCCTGGGCGTCTCTCTTCCCTGGTTTTCTTCGTCCCTTGCTCCCCCTTTGCGGAAGACCTTCCCTTTGCTCGCGACCTCCCGACCTATTCGACTTGTCCTGCGCTTGCGCTGTTCACATTCAACTCCGACAAATCGACCCGCGAAAAATCCAACCAATCCGGAACTTTACCGTACTCTACACGGACTAACCGCAGTTACCACTACTACTACTACTACTACTAACATTGGAAGAATCATCAGTACCAGCACTAGCAGTAAAGCAGCAGCAGAAGTACCAGCAGCACCACCATCAACAGGAGCAACGACGCTGGACTTTGGGACGCCTGGCGTCTCTCTCTCTTTCTATTTCTATCTCTTTCTCTCTTTCTCTCTTTCTATCCCTCCCTCTATCTCTCTCTCTCTCTCTCTCTTTTTCACTAACTCGTTTGCTCGCTCATATTGTTAGACTAGCAGACGACCGTTCCAACGTTCTCTTCTCAGTGATCTATGTGATGCCGCCGTGATCGTTCGGTGATCCGTGCGCGCATTAATTTCTTTCCGCAAAACGTGCGCGAGAATCACACGTGCGTCAATTGAAAGGACAAAGCGAAGGAAAAAAAAAAAAAGAAAAAAGGAAATCCCGAAGAAACGGAAAGAGAAAAGGTGTGACACTTTGATCCCATTCGACGAGGAAGATACGACAATAAAAAAGATCACTCGACTCGACGTTTACAGATAAGTGCGATAAATGTTCTAACGAAGCCCGACGTTGCAGGATTTTCGGCTTGTATGTCCGAAAAAGGTACAACTCCTTAGTTTTTTTTAATTTACAAATAAAGAACATTAATTAATTGTCGTAATGTAATTTAAAAAGAAACAAAAAAAGATCTGATAACGCAATTATAATAGGAAAAATTAACGCAAATGTCAAACAACGTTTTGTCATTGGATCGGGAAAAAGAAAAGGAGAAAAAAAGGGGCGTAAACGAGGAACACGCGTAAATTGTTATTTCGCAAAATCTACGTGACATAAGAGCGATATCGTACGGAAGTGATCTTTGAAATCCGCGTGAGAAACGCTAATCATCTAAGTAACAACGTCTCACCTTTTACCACGAGATATAATATATACGTGTATATGTAAGAGAAAAATTTTCTGTGGGGGGGGGGAGGAGGAAAGAGCTCAAACAAAAATATCACGTTGCAAAATTGGATATTAATTAAAGAAAGAATGTTTCAACAAAATTCATTGCCCGTTTCAATATTTATTTAATAATATCGCGAATAATAATTTAGCAACCCTCCTAACGCAACTTGTCAATTATGCATAATATATTTAACAATCGAATTGTAAAATATCGTCGAGGAAGATTGCACTTTTCCGTAAGAGGAATTGTTGACGAGGTTAAATGCGAAATAAAACACGCATAACAATGTCAGCGATTCTATAATTTACCTTTATGTAACAAACAAACGATTGCATATTTTGAACGTGTGTGTGTTTGTGTGTGCATGAACGCGCGCGCGCACGCACAATTATTTCCGTGTATAAATTGGAATGTATAGAAATATGAAAAAATGATTCTCCACTTTGTTTCAGTCCGATATGAATACAGAAGGAAGAACGTTCTCAGGGAGATGACACCACGACGTCACGTATTCGCGGGAATTCGTCGAGCACTTTTGGCTGCCGCGATCGTGGGTTTGATCATCTTGGCCCTCTCCAATCAAGATGATCATAACAACGTGCAACAGGGAACACTTTTGGACGTAAGTTTGAATAATTATCGTTTAATTTTAATTCTTACATTTACCCTTCTAATTTATTACATTTATCTTCTTTCCTTTTTTTTTTTCTTTTTTTGATGCTTCATTTTTTATGTATAAAAAGAAATTAATTTAATTCAATAATTATAATTGCAAGTTATTTAAATAAAACCACGAGATTGATTGTAACCTTCACAATTGTTTTACTAACGAATGAAATACCAAAAACAAAATTAAAATCTAAATATTTATCGCTTGACTTGTTTTTTTTTTTCTCATTCGTCTAATTTTCTGATTCATCTAACATAAGAATAAGAAGGAAAGAAAATTAATTATGTCATTTAGAGGAAGAAGCCGCTAGACCGTAACCGTTCAAGTCATTTAGTCCCATAAGAGTATTAGAAGATTATCTTAAGGTTATCGAAGTTGCCATTGGCCACGGATCTATCCGAATTACATCATATATTATATATATATATATATATATATATATATATATATATATATATATATCTTCAAAGTATTCTTATATAACATAGTCGATAAAGTTCTCCTTAGGCATGAAAAATGATTTTTCCTAAGAACTCTTAAAAAGAGATTGAAATCAGTAGGCCCTCGTTTTGAAAGCACCACAAGCACGAATTGGCAAAGTTCCAGGCGCAATGCGGCGCCTGGACACGCAGATCGGTTGATATGGCCTCTTTAAACTATGCAAAAGAACAGCAAATTAAGTTGAAAGATAAGATATATGTGGAAGATATTCGGCTTCCGTGTGTTCGAATCAACCAACAACAATCTCTTGACAAGAAGAAAAAGAAATAGAATGGAAAAGGAAATAGAAAAGAACAGACCCGTGGTTAAAAAAAAAAAACAAACAACATTCCAAGAGTATAATATATTGACCTTGAAAAAATTGTTAAATAGTTCTATTGAAAAACAAATCATTGCTGTCGATCAACTGTTATACATTATTCTTTCCTATTCCCCCTTTAAAACTGATAAAGCTAATAATATTAAAATACATACGTGTCGCATTGCTAGGAGTACGTGTAAACAATTAAGATCAACGATACGTGATTCGAAAGTTAAGATGCGTTTCTTTATCTATCGTTTATGCGAAAGATTAATGAAGCTGATTTATTGAACAATACGAAATAAATGACGAACGTTACACAATGCGTACAAATGTAGATTTGTATGTATGGTACGTATATATAGGACTGGCTCTGAAGTTTAGGAACGAGGTGTATCCGTGGGGCTCAATGACTTTGAAGTACAAGTAAAAGCATTGGAAAAAAAGAAGAAAAAATGTTATCAAAGAGAGATCAAAGAATATAAAAATCTTCTGGTACAGAAAAGTAACCCTTTTAAATTTCTATCACGTGATCTACTTTGAAGCATATTTTTTATTTTTAAGTTCACCCAGAGTCGAATTTTTCTACCAGATCGGCCCGTATTATTATACTCAAAATTGGAAATCAAATAAATTGATCGGGAGTTTAAAATTAAATTGGCCTAATACCCGTCGAGCAGACTCTGTATGCATGTTATGCATGCATGCATGCATGCATGCAAATATGTGTGTATAACTCCGATGCACTTGCACAAATACAAAGGCGGCGAACTTTTCTCGGATGCACCGCCGCCCACAGAGAGCCCTTCGGTCATGCAGCGTTGTGGCCCACATTTGCGATAGCGGAATAGTCTCTAGAACGAAATCAATAAGGGGAAGGTAGGCAGCAGCGCACTTCTATTACACGTTAGCCTCTTCTCGTTTAACTATTTCTCCTTCTTTTTGATTTATTTTTTCTTTTTCTTTTATTTCGTACATTTTTGCCGAAATTGAAACGAGAAATATAATAAATTTGTTCTCTTTACCTTTTATTTCTTTCCTTTTCTTTTTTGTATACGTTAGTACAATCAATTCGTTCAATATATAAATTTGTTAAGATGATAAGATCTGCATCGATGATACAGGTGATCGAACCTATACAAATACTATAATTTATATGGTGCATGGGGTGTTTTGCGAAGATATAGGTCAAATGTCACGTGTTTTGCAACACGACTCATCTCATTCTCGATGCAACGTAGCGTAGGACGACGTGCGCGCGAATAGCCCATAGATAAAAGTGTTTAGTTTAATTGTGGAAATTGACTTAACCTTGCGTGTAACATAGAAGGTCGGTGTGATAGTTCTATATATATGTGTACGTATATGTGTGCACATTTGTCTATGTAAATATATGATACTACGTAAGAGCATACGTAGAAATGCACCTTGTATGCTTCTTACGCACGTGCTCTGAGAGATCTTGAACCTGGTAAGAATAAACAAAACTTTCATTCATTCATATACACTCATTCTTTGATTTATTTTATTCCTATTTATTGGATATAATCAATATAAAAGAAAAATATTTGGAACGTACATATTTTCAGGACGATATCAACCTAACGCCAGAGGAGAGAATGATCGAACTAGCTACAGCTGCGGAAACAGAAGCTCGTTTGATCGAACGAAGAAAATTTTTGGCTGAAAAGTGTGCCGAGGAAGGACTCGATCGTCCTGGAAATGATTCCCTTCACAAGCCCAACGCTTGGGAATTTCTTGTAAATAGAGAATATCATCTGATATGGTGCAACGTATTTAAAGCTGCATCCACCTCATGGATGTATAATTTCAATCTACTTGCAGGGTAAGAAGAAACGTTCGTTGCCCAGTATATCTCTATTTAAATTAATAAAACTAATATTTTGTGTGTATATTTAACAAATTTCGATTGGTATAATATAAAAATGATTGAAGATATTTAAATGAATGGGGTTTTATGTCAATCACTTAATCGAATCTTTCAGATACAGTCCGCAATTTTTAAAAGCCTCTAAAGCTGTACCAGTATCTCTGGCACGGCAAAAATATCCTAGACACACGGCCGAAGAATTAGCGAAATTTTTAAATGACAGTATCAGCTTCCTAATCGTCAGACATCCTTTCGAAAGATTGTTGAGTGCCTATAGAGACAAATTGGAGCATAGTTTGCCCCATACGTTTCACAGCAATCTCGGTGCTCACATAGTTTGGCATTACAGATCAAAGGTATTTATCGAACAAGACTATATTTAACTTAATCGATCGACACGATTTCTTTTAATTATATTTTCCATAGGATTCGAAAATGACTGGTAAACATGGACCGAGATATCCATTCTTTGAAGAATTTGTTAGATGGCTTTTGTGCCAGTGGAAAGCTGGAAACGAATTGGACATGCACTGGACACCGATAGTCAACTTTTGCACACCCTGCCAAGTGCGATTCGATATAATCGCAAAATTCGAAACACTTCGAGTAAGTCACGCGAAAAATGATATTAATTCTTCATTTTCTCTACCTATTTCTTTCTTTTTAATGTATTCTAATGAATAAATGAATTTTAATCGCACGTAGGAAGATCAGGACTTCCTTATAAAGCAAGCACACGTTGGACATATCATTAAACCGGAATGGAAGAATCCAACGAGAGGTGTTCAAACGAAAGACGTTGTCAAAAATTATTTCACTCAATTATCCAAGACACAAATCAATGATCTTTATGAAATGTTTAGGTATACCAAAGACATTCTTTATCTACAAGTACATCCATTTTTTTCTCTCATTTATTTAGTTTTTATACATACTAAATAGTCAGTATATTTAATATTCTGCTCAATATTAATAATAATCTGTCAGTATTTTAAATAAATAGCCAAGGTCTTGTATAGGTTGCGTGTTGATAAAGGACAGATATAAATATTTCATTATAAATGCTGATCACTTAGTTAGATTAGGTACGGATAATTTATTGAAAATACTGATCATTTATTTAAAATATTGATCGCTTAGATTAGATACCAGTAATTTATTATAAATGCTGACTTTATTTATTTGAAATATTAACTCAATAAATAACTGTCACTTTTTTAATAGCGATGCTTATCATATTCTAATGAATATCAATTATTTTTATTTATTATTTTAGGTATGATTTTATACTCTTCGATTATTCTCCCGAGGAATATATTTCACTTGGAAAAGACAAGCCGACTACGTTGATATGCAAAAATTGAAGTGGAAATATGCGAACTAGAAGACGATCGTAACTCGATCTTAACTATTTGCGAATGCAGCATTTCTTTTTTTATATCAAAATAAATTCTTATTTGATGAAAAAACGCAACGAAACATTAGATTATGCTTGATAAAGTTGAAAACTACTATGTTATCTGTATATAATAGTCATTAGTTTGTCATTTATTATATAGAAATAAAAAAGAGTATTAATTTTAAACAAAAATATACTTTAAACGATACTACATCATCCTAAATATTTTCCTAATACGTAAGAAATATTTCATATAATTCTAGAAAATTTTTAAAACAAAAATTAAATTTTGATTTATTAATTATTGAAATTTTGTGTTATTTAATTACAGAGAGCTTCTTCCTATTTAAGAAATATACTCGATACTTGAATCCACTGCACAAATTTACAAAATAAAGGAGAAATAACATATTGTCAATAAAAAATACAAGCAAGTATTACGCGTCTTCGTAATAAAATTATTGATACAAATTTTATATGCATATACGTTGAAATAGAAAAAAAAATGCCTTTGTTACTTTCTCCTCTATAACACTGTCAAATAATTGTTATATTTCATCATACTATTATATAATATATATAATACACATTATAAAATTGGAAAAGTATTTGTTTATATCTGGAATGGCAAATAAGTAACATGCATGACTTCACATTTTCCCATAACATAGAAAACATTTTTGATGGACGCTACTACAAACTTTGAATCATTTCATCTATATATATATATTACAGAAGAAAAATTTCATGTTATAAAAAGAAAATGGATACTCACTGAAATGATACATTCTGTAAGACTGCACCTATTATCCATTTATCTAGAAGAACGTATTGCCACTGGTCTTTCAGTACCAAGAAATTGCTGGGTTTGTTATAATTAAAGTTCGTTTTAATCACTGGTTCTCCTTCGATTGTGTACATCTATAGTAAATATAAGCAAAACAATTTTGTGTTATTAATTGATTCAAAAATTGATTAAACAGGTTTAATAATAATCAAATACATGGGGCGACTTACTTCGCTATCTGAATCAGAATCTTTATCATGGCCATGGACAAGTTTGAAAAGTAAACTATTAGAAATATTTTTAATTTCGTCCTTTATTTCTTCCAGTTCATTATTCGTTTTATCTACCCTGTTCTGTAAAGAACTTAATTGTTGTTTAAGATATTCTTCTATGGGGTTACATATGTTAGAGGATGAAGGATTAAAAATGGAATCTTCCTCTTTATCACTAAACTCAAGCGCGTCGTCGTCAAGACAATCCATGACTTCGTAAATAAAGCCTTTCTAATATTGTTTAATTGTACGGAAACATCAAGCTATTACAAGAACGTTTGTTAAATAAACAACACTCTAAGATGCTGCTTAACCTTTCAAATCGAATCGCAATTAAAATATCGATGAAAGGTTGTTTGATCTGTCTCAGACGACTACGACTCAATACGATAAGATTTTCTCGTTTCAAATTATTTTCTTCTTAATTCTGTAATACTTCACTAACAAACAACAGAACTACTGCATGAAATCATCCTCCTATGTAAAATCACATATAGAAGAAACATTCATTTTTATTAATTATCATAACATATCGTAAAATATTTGTATTGTTGATAGTAAATTATGTATATAGAAATTTATTTGACGAATTAATTAAATGTACATAATTATTATTTAATTTAATTTTGAATTATTTAAAAATGTTGACAGATGAACAATTTATGTTTCAACTGCCACCAACTGGGCCCATTAATACCAACATAAAAACATTGTTACCGCCAATATTATAATTTAATTGTGGATTAGATTCACTAGAAAATCCCTAGCGTTTAGTGGCGCGAAAGCCGCACACGCCGCACAGTGATTCCTAATTTCAAAAAATGTAACTAAAAGTCCACAAAAAAAATTATTGGGGAAATGTTTAAACTCGCACAGTGCAGTTAATATTTGTCAGATTTTAACATTTAAATATGAAATCTTCGCATGACAATAAGTACAATTAAATTATGTTTTTAAAAATAAACCAAAATAATAAATGTGGTTGCTAATGAAAAGTATATTGCTACGTGTTTTTCTCTGATGCAGGTATTAAAAATATTTATTCAAAAAGCTCTAAATCAAAATTCTCCTTTGCTCCCGCGCTTTAATTAGTTTTAAATTGTTTATTAAACCTTTACCTAATAAATATTCAAAAATTAGTTGCTCCAATTTGCTTCTTCAGCTTTGATCCTCCGATTGATTGATTTTTTACAATAATGTATAAACGTACTTGTAAAGACCTTTCACTTTATCCACTACTTTATGAAATTTGAATTAACCGGAAATTATGCTTCTTTCGAGATTTTCCAAACTAATTAATTCAGTTTAATTTTGAAATATCAATAAAATTAGAGTCATTATAATTTGAATAGTAGAGTCATCGTTATAGCTCATTGCTCTTTAATAACAGCAATCTTACACAAAGTGCTAAAGAGACCTAGGAACGCGATATTATTTTCGGTATAATGTATATCACATGTTATATAATATACATTTTATCGCAAATAAAATTAGAAAAACTTCAGAAGCTCTGTTATAAATGTAGTTCTAATGTAATTCTAAATAACGAAAAAATTAATACATTTTTATGTTCTAATGAAAAAAAACATAATGTGTTTATTAAAAAAAAAACAAAAGAAAAAACAAAATTATGCTTCATGTAAATGACAGTCTTTCCGTTAACGAAAAATGTCATCACTGACACGAATATTACGATATTAATCGATCTAATATTTGAAAAACCAATTGAGATAATTAAAAATGACTTATCACAATTGGAATTTTTGTAAGGATTTATTCGATAATAAAAATCATGACAAAGTATTTAAAAAAAATCGAATAGAAGAGGATAGTCTGTTTCTTCGCAAGAAAAAAATGAAAAATCTTGCACAAGCCGAATGGCATAACATGAAAAAAATTCGTGCAAATTTGAAGACTATGTTACCGATGATACCTCTTTCTGAAGTAAAACGGTTAAGTGAAAAATACATTTTTTTAACATGTTACTATACAAAATTTAAGACGTTAATATTTTTTATATTCTTTTAAAGATTCTACTTAAAACACGATGAAGCAGTCATAGACGAACTTAAAGAAAAAGGCTTAGAAAATGCGGCTGATTTTATTCAAAATTTAATTAAATTCGATGAAGAAAGAAGGAACATTGCTGGTCCTGGTACATCTACCTGGACAAAGCCACGATTAAAAGATCAACGAGATCTATTAAATCAACTCAAAGAAACTTTAATCGCAATTGGAAAAGCTGAACAACTGGGTAATATTTAAATAATATTCTTTCTAATCTATAAAACACAGCAACATATAGAAAAAGAAGAAAAATAAATCTTTTTCAGGACAATCAATAGAAGCGTCAAATTTGTGGATAAAAATATCAATATTTTTTCAATCAAAAGGTGAAGATTGGTGGTGGGTAACAAAAAAACTTTACGAAAATGCACTGAAAGCAGCCGAATTAGTTGATGAGGATGATGCACGCAATATCACTGTCGTACGATATCTTTACGGAAAATTTCTTTCTATGATAGGTTGTAAAAAAATCTATTTTACTTCGTAAATGATAATGAAATCAAAATTTTTATTAAAATTTAACGGATAATTATGTGTGTGATTAATAGAGGTCGATTGGCTTAAAGCGCTCGAATATTTGGATATTGCAAGAGAAGCATCAGAAAATAAAATATGGAACGTTTCGAAAATATCTAATGAAAAACAAAAAACAATTTTTAAAGAATCTTGCGCTCTGATATACAAAATTCTTATTGCACTTGTTCAACGAATTGGTCAAGAGGATTCCGAATTTGCTGTGCAGGCTTGCAACGAAGCTTTAAAAAGAGCCACGGATAGTAAGTGTTTTATTTTTTTTTTTTTATTAGTTTATGATGACTTTTCTACTAAAGATATTTATTTATACAAAGTTTTATATGTTTCAAGTAAGCCGGTCATTACGATTACATAGCTAACGCTTTGTATGAGCTAGGAAGGACCCATTTGCGTTATGGCGAAATTAAATATTCTTTGCAAGAATTTTCTAAATTACTAGCCATGGCCAAAAGAAATTCGGATCCCGAAAGAATTTGTAATGCACACATGGAATTGGCCTTTGCTTACAAGGTAACAAAACAAATCCAAAAACATATAAGTAATGGCGCTTACGATCTAGCATATACAGGGTGTCCCAAAAGTCGCTTTTTCAAACAAAAATAAAACAATTAATACTATCTTATTAATTGAATTACAATATTTTGCAATCATTCAACAAACATTTATCATTTTGTATTTCAGTGAAGCGACTTTTAGAAGGCCCTTCGTAATAGCATAATCTGTAAATGTTTAATGTTAACTTATACATTGCATTACAACATAGATATTTTATAAAATACTATTTTAGTTCACACATATAATTAATGTGAGTGATGCATTAAGATAAATTATTTACTTTCGTGTATTATATTTTACTGCTTGTTTTATTATCATTTACTTTAATATTAATTTGTTTCGTTAGTTATTTTTTAATAGGTTATTATTTATAAAAAACATATGGTACTTAAAGATTACTTAAAATCCTAGGAAATCTATTTGTTAGTATTAATATTATATCAAAAATTTATTAATATACACTTAACTATCCTTTTTTGTTTTTTTTAAGATTAAAACTTCTTATAAACTATTATACAATAAAGATAATAAACAGTGGATCAATTATTATTGGCATTATCAATTTTCTTTTTCATTATCTCTTTGTTTTTTTCTTTAGGAAATTGATGATACCGCAAATACAGAAAAACATTTAAATCTATTTCGAGAAAATGCAATCCAGTTTGATTTACCGTATAAACTTGCACAAGCGCATTACTATATTGGTGAACATTTATTAAATCAGGTTAATACATTTTTTATTCATAGATATTATATTTATACAAAAAGATTCACGTAATCGTAACAAGTTTAATATATTTGTTGTTCAAAAATATTATATAAAAGTTTTACAATGTAATAGATAGTATCTCTTTTAATAAAGTAATTTATTAAAAAAGCTAAAACTTGTTACAATTTTACGTGAATAATCATTATGTATATATAGATGTATTATTGGATTAAATAAAATACTTGAAAACTAAAACCAAGTAATATAAATGTTTGAACATATATATTTAGATGAAACCTAATTTGGCAACGCCACATTTGGAAAAAGCTTTTAGTTTATATTATGATCTTGGATTTATCGAGGAAGCAGATCAAGCAAGAATTATCACTGGTATATCAAGGGGTAAAGTTTAAATTATAGAAATACTATATGGTTAATTTCTTTCTTTTTTCCTTTTTACTTATATTTACATATAATATTAATTTTGAATGAATTTATATTAATATATTTGAGATCGGCAATGTAATCCTATGTTAATTCAAATTTTTTTTTTAGCTGAATACCAATAATATAGTTCTACGTCATTTCAAAATTTGTAACTAAATATTGCAAACAGAGTCCTAGATTATAAAATATTACACTTTAATTATTAATTTATTTATAAAATTTTGTTTAATGATTAAACGTTTATTTTTATTATATTTGCTTACTAAGTTTGTCAAATTGTAATATTATTTTTTCTTCATTTAGTACTATGTCTTATATTTCAAGTTATTTTATGCAGTATTCAGCAAAACATCTCGCCCGAACAAAGCCCGTCGTGAATATATTAATAGATTTGTTAATTTCAATTTATTCATATAAGTTGATACATATGTAGGGAATGTGTACAATACCTGCATTGTACATAATACCGAGCCGTTTTTGTCAATGTAGGAAACAGAAGAACACACATGACAAGTGTGCTGCAAATCGACATTAAGTTTCAGTTTATAGAAATACGCATAGTATAGCGGCACGCACAGTCTTAACAACCCACTGCATGCTCACTTGTGTGTGTGTGAGGGCAGGGTTGTGTGATTTGGGGGAGGGGGGGGGTAATAATGTACAATAATGTATTCTTCTAGCATTGTGTAAACAGCGTGTGCCACAATGATGAGATGATGAGGAACAAAAGATACAGATAAGAATTCTTCTGTTTCCTAGATTGCCAAAAACGGCTCGGTATCGTGGACAATGCCTAGGCATTGTACACATTCCCTATAACATATACACAGGACAAGAACAAATAGAACAGTTTATAAATCTGATATTAGAATGTGAAAAACATAATCTATACGCTCTGTGCAAAATGTATAAGTGGAAAAATAAAAGAGAGATTTTTTGGACCAATAAGCAATGCGACATTGATAAAGGTATTTATGACTTCACTTATTTATACTATTCTAATATCATTGTCTACAATAAGTAAACGTTATGACATATTACAGAGAACTATGATTATTATGAACATTTTGTTTACCCAAGTCCACCGATTTTAAGCCATCTAACAAAACAAAGTTAATATTTATAAGTATCTCTAACAAATGTTTCTTCTTTAATATATTATATTCAACATTTTAATACTTATAATTTCTAATAAAGAAATGTATTCCCTTTTTTTTTTTTACAATTATTTAAGAAAAACAAATTCCTTATTCAAATGACGTACTCAATGATATTCTAGTTCAAAACAGCAAAATAAAGAGAGAGTGCAACAAAAACTAATATTAATATGTATGTATGTTTGAAAAAAAACAAGAAATAGTAAGAAAAGAAAAAACTATAACAATATTGCTCAAAAGATCCTTGTACCTCCATTATTGGTATTTAAAAACATGAAAAGTCTTTAATTCGCGATGAATTAATTTTTTCGTACAATTTATACAAAATTTAATATTCGAATGTTTTTCTGAAAAGTTAAAAAACTAATTGTTCTCTCCTTAAACGTATTTCGATAATGTGTTGATGTGTTATAAATTTATGTATAATATACGTGTGTACTGAGACGTACCCTTTTTGTACTAAATTTACTTTATCTCTGATTTTGTTCATTTTATATTTACCTTTGATATGAAGTAATAACTGAAAAAGAAATTAAAAAACCAATTATATGTATGTATGTATGTATGTATATATATATATATATATTTATTATATATTTTTATATATATTTATTATATATATATATGCATATAACTATAAAGAATATAATAAAATTAGCCAGTAAAAGCATCTTATATAAAGGATATCCTGTAACTGATGATACAAGCGAGCAGAGAGTGACAAATTTACTCTTAGATATTTCGAAAAGTACTTTTGCGCTTCTTAATTGTTAATAAACAGTGGCGGTGTGATATCTCATAAATCGGTTCTACTCTTACGTTTATCAAACAAGAGTTATAGTTTCTAGGATATTGCAAGCTCAATCAAATGCACACGTACTTAACAAATTTTCACTTATTCTTTTTTGACTTTTTCATGTAGAATCATCCCCTACTCGATTCTATCGCCACTTACAGGACACCCTATATATATTTGCGCGTGTATATATATTCTTTACTTAAAAAAAAATCATATCATATATATATATAATATATTTCATAAATCAAAGTACTGAGTTTCTTACAAAACAGATGGTAAAAATGTTTTTGTTGAAGAAAATTTATTTACAGAGAAAGAAAAGAATGAATATCTACAAAATTAATGATAACACTTTAAATTTAATATATAATAGACTTACTTCAATTTATTAAAATATTATTTCTGTAGTATTCATAGGATCTAAAGATGGCATATCTGCACTCTTTTGTATTTCAAGTGTAATATCCTCCAAAGTCTCCGCTTCCAGTTGAATATCTCTTATATTACCTACAGCGCTTGAAGAATTTTGTTGTTCACTCATGGCTGAATTAGAAATACGTTCTACCATTTCTACCACTGTATTACCTGATTCTTTATTATTCTTTTCTATTTGATCGATCTCATTACTTGAACTACATTCGTTTACAGATGTCAGATCATAAAGTAATTCTTGTGTATCATTTATGCGTGCTTTCTTCTTTTCAGACTCTATCATTGTAGTTGTAGATGTATTTACTTCTTTTTCTACTTGTTTAACTACTTCAACAGAATCAGAGTCATCTTTTATTGACTTTATATCAGATTTAGAAACATTACTTTCGGTAGAGGCTTTTAAACTGACACTATTAACTATTTTTTCATTTATTTCATTTTTTTCATCTGTATCCGTTTCGTTCTTATCATCTTTTTTATCTTTTATACTTGTCTCCTCTTCTTGTTTTGATTTTTCAGTATGAATATCGTCCAAATGATTTCTATCATTTAATTGAGAGTTATCTGCATTTAAAACGCTATTCTGTTTTTCTTTCTCAATTTTGCTTTTTTCTATTTCTTTCGGTTTATCTTCGCTTTCTGTAACAATGTCGATGTCGTCTCTTTCCTTTTCTTTATCATCACTTTTGTTCGCCTCATCTTCTGATTTTTCCTTCATTTTATCTTCTTGTTCATTTGTTATATTTTCTATCTTTTTTGCGTTATATTCTTTATCCTTCATCATATTTTCATCCTCTTCCGTCATATTTTCTTTATCTTCTTCTTGTTCTTTATTTTCTTCCTGTTTTTGTTCTTTATCTTTCACCATATTTTCATCCTCTTCTGTTATATTTTCTTTGTCTTCTTCTTGTACTTCGTTTTCTTCCCATTTTTGTTCTTTGTCTTCTTCTTGCACTTTGTTTTCTTCCTGTTTTTGTTCTTTATCTTCTTCCTGTTCTTTGTCTTTTTCTTGGTCTTCTTCCTGTTCTTTGTCTTTTTCTTGGTCTTCTTCCTGTTCTTTGTCTTTTTCTTGGTCTTCTTCCTGTTCTTTGTCTTCTTCTTGCTCTTCTTCAACTTCTACTGTTTTTTCTTTATCTTCTAATGTTTCTTTATCTTCTAATGTTCCTTTATCTTCTAATTTTTCTTTATCTTCTAATGTTTCTTTATTTTCTAATTTTTCTTTATCTTCTAATTTTTCTGTATCTTCTAATGTTTCTTTATCTTCTAATTTTTCTTTGTTTTCTTCTTGTTCTTTATCTTCTTCTTGTTTTTTATCTTCTTCTTGTTCTTGGTCTTCTTCTT